CAGTGGCCCTTGGTCAGATTGTAGTCATTTCCTTCTATTCCTAATTTGTTGAGTGTTTTCATTATGAAAAGGTGTTAATTTTGTCAAATGCATTTTTTGCATTGATTGAGATAATCGTGTTTTTTTCCTTCATTCCGTTAATGCAGTGTATTGCTTCTTTTGTTGCAGAGCATGGGCTCTAGAGTACATGGGTTCAGTAGCTGTGGTACAGGGGCATTTTTAGTTGTGGTGCCCCGGCTCAGCTGTCCTGCAGCGAGATCTTAGTTCCCCTGCTGGGGATTGAACCCATGTCCCCTCCAGTGGATGGAGGGTTCTTAACAACTGGACAACCAGGAAAGTCCTGTAGACTAATCATTTTTTAATGTAAAGTCTCTTAAATCATGTAGCAATCAAAAAACAGAAATATGTTGCTATTGTTATGATAATACTAGATTTTATAATTACCCATGTATTTACCTCTACCAAGACCTTGATACAGCTTTGAATTACTGTCTGATGTTCTTTCATTGTGACCAGCAGGACTCCCTTTGGTGTTTCATATGGGGCAAGCCTAGTGGTGTAAAAGCTGGCTTAAAAGTCAACATTCAAAAAATGAAGATCATGGCATCCTGTCCCACTACTTCATGGCAAATTGATGGGAAAACAAAGGAAATAGTGACAGACATTATTTTCTTGGGCTCCAAAATCACTGCAGATGGTGACTGCAGCCATGAAATTAAAAGAGGCTTGCCCCTTGGAAGAAAAGCTATGACCAACCTAGACGTCATATTAAAAAGCAGAGACATTACTTTGCTGCCAAAGTCCATGTAGTCAAAGCTATGGTTTTTCCAGAGGTCATGTATGGATGTGAGGGTTGGACTATAAAGAAAGCTGAGTGCCGAACAGTTGATGCTTTTGAACTGTGGTGCTGGAGAAGACTCTTGAGAATCCCTTGGACTGTAAGAAGATCCAATCAGTCCATCCTAAAGGAAATCAATCCTGAATATTCATTGGAAGGACTGATGCTGAAGCTGAAACTCCAATACTTTGGCCACCTGATGCAAAGAACTGACTCATTGGAAAAGGCCCTGATGCTGGGAAAGATTGAGGGCAGGAAGAGAAGTGGATGACAAAGGATGAGATGGCTGGATGGCATCACCGACTCAATGGACATGAGTTTGAGCAAGCTCCAGGAGTTGGTGAGGAACAGGGAAGCCTGGCGTGGTGCAGTCCATGGGGTCGCAAAGAGTAGGACACAACTGAGATTAACTGAACTCCTACAACAACTCTATGAGGAAGGCACTATTATTAAGTTCATTTTACCAACAAGAACAATAAGGCACAGAGAGGTTAAGTAAATTCACCATGGTCACACAGCTAGTAAGTGGCAGAGAATGGAGATCTGAATCCTTCTCTCTGATTCCAAAGCCCCTGTCCTTTCTTTCAGGATCTGGAGAGACTCTATTTCCCATGCCTCTCCTCCACCAGCTAAAAAAGGAAAAAGTCAGAAGCAATGTGCCACATCTGGAACTAATAAATAATGATTTCAAAATGCAAGGCATGTTACCTTGTCTGAATCCTGAATTATTTTAACATTCTCTGTACCAAAATTTTCACCATAAAGTTTAATATGTCTCAGGGAAATCTCTGAGAAGCCGGTGAGCTTTGGCTCTTTATAGATGTACTCCTTTCTATCTTCTTCTTCAAAAAAAGACTATTATAAAGTTAAACATACAATAATTTATAAACATTATGAGCAAATACAGCATTTAGAGAACATCTACTAAGTACAGCAATAATCTACTTGAAATAGATTTTAAATAATAGTACTAAAAGCCACATGCATATATTGTAGCTGAAATAAATGAGAACTTTCAGACTTACAGTCATATGAGCATATCATTGGCCTGAAGGTTTTTACACTCAATTTTTCATCACTCGCATACTTACCTGATTTTTATTTGAAAACTTTCAGTACTAGGTATTAAATAAACATTTAAGAAGCTTGACTGAAAATGAAACTGACGGAAACATTCAAATCTTATATGTTGTCTTCTGACCTAGTGGATTTAGATACGGAAACCAAAGTGAATGTTACTCTGAGAAAAGTGTCACACCTGCTGTTGTGACAGGTGCTTTATCTAGACAGAATCCTAGAACCAGTAACTGCTGCTGTGGTAATCTAATAATTCAAAGGTGAATGTTTAAAACGGAAAACAACTTGATGAACTAAAGTATACTTACTGCCATAAAAGGCAACTCTGAAGAAAGTGCCTAAAAGTCTTTTCTTTGTGTGCATAACCTCCAAAGTTTTTGTGTAAGCTCCATGAAGAGTTCTATAAACTTGTGTAAGTTTCTGAAAATATGAGAATAAACAAATCAGCTTTATCTTTTGGTTAGTTATGATGAAATGTCTATGATAAATGCATAAGGGGCAAAAAGCAACACCATTTCCTTTCCAAAATGGTTTTGGTGGGGTCATTCGCACTCCCTTCTCCCATGCTCACAGTTAGGAAAAAAGCCTTAACAACTTTAGGTGAGAGGGTAGAGCTTAAAATGGTCAAATAACACTGTAATTCTAAACATCATGCTTCATGTCATTCATATCTCAATGGTAGTATATACACTAAAAATACTGTGTTATTGACTACTTTTTCCCTTATGTCTGAATTATTGTAACTGAAAGAGAATCAAAATGCTTTGCTTGAGCCCTAAGGTGGCAAGATGGGAATAAATGATCATGCAAACACTTTAGGAGAGGAAAGAAAATTCAGACACAAAAATAACAGTAAAAGCCTGAGTGAGGAATGCTTTTATAACAAGTTCACAGACACTTCCAAAGAATATATTCTTTACCCACTCAGAAAAAGGGAATGCACTGTGCAAAGAACATTATCTAGAATGTGAAAAGACAACATACAGAACAAGAGAAAATATTTGCAAATCACATATCTGATGTTGGCTTATCCAAAAATTATAAAGAACTCTCATAGCTCAACAACGAAATGACAAACAACTCAATTTAAAAGTGAGCAAAGGACTTGAATAGACATCTCTTCAGAGAATGTATAAAAATGGCCAACAAAGAAATGAAAGCTGCTCAAAATCATTAGTCATTAAGGAAATAGAAATCAAAACCACAATGTGACACCACCTCACATTCACTAGGATGGCTGTAATAAGAACCCCAAAACACAAGTGTTGATCAGATGTGCTGGTAGGAAGGTAAAAGGGACAACAATTCAGTGGTTTCTCAAAAGTTAATAGAATTACTCTGTGACTCAGCAATTCTCCTCTTAGGTATTTATCCAAGATAAATGAAAACGTGCCTATACAGAAACTTATACATAACTATTTACAACAGCACTGTTTATAGTAGCCCAAATATGGAAACAACCCAAACATACAAACAGATTTTGGCATAGCTATACCATGGAATATCATTCAACCATGAAAAAGGAATTAAGTTCTGATATAGGTTACAACTTGAATGAACCTCTAAATATTATGCTAAGTAAAAGAAGCCAGACACAAAAGGTCACATCTTGTATTCATCGTTTTTATGACACATCCAGAATAGGCAAATCCATAGATGGAAAGCAGATTAGTGGTCACCAGTGGGGTGAGGGAGGGGGTGAAGAGCGATTCCTTGAAGGAGATGGAGTTTTTCCTGGGATGATAAAAATGTTTTGAAACTAGAGAGAGGTGGTTGGAGTATAATATTAAGAATGTGCTAAACATCACTAAACTGCAAACTAGAAAACGGTTCACTGTATGCTGGTGAATTCATTTCAATACTAAAAGGGGAGCACGGAAGCAGATGTTCTTTCTTTCAAATTCTTTCCATACTATTTTCTGCAGTTGAAGTCAATTTGAGGGAAGTTTTCCTTCCTTTATGGCTGCTGTGGCTGACACTTTTCAGCCCATCCCATAAAGAACACTGAAAAATTACTTCATTTCATGAAGGATGCTTCAGAATCTATATAGACCCTTGCCTCTCTACAAGGAAATAGGAGTAGTTTCCCAATAGAACCTATTGTTTCCTTTAATGTTTTGGGAAGATATATTTTTCTTTTTTCCCTATTAGTCAATTGAGTAGCAAAATATTCTCTGGGTTTCTAATAACCTGGTCTTCAACTTAAGAGTAACAGAGTAGGTACTTTGGAACTCTTACAAAGGTTCTTAGGATACAATGCTTTGACAGAGAGAGCAATGCCAATTCTTGTCTTGTCTCATAAGTTATTTTTTGTCATCTGTATGACATAGATTTAATTACTTAACTCTCACTTTTTAATATAATCACTTGAGCTGCACTATGCCAATTTAGAGAAGAGATTAGAACACTACACAGATGACTTTAAATGTATTTTTTCACATTTGGACACTTCAACAATGAAAGACTACTTGCTACATATATTTAAGGATAAATTGCTTTACTTTTAAAAATGGCTTGAGTCCTAAATCACCCCTTTCCAGCATAGCAGGGGTATAAAATTATGATATAGACTCAGATTCTTGACTATAAAAAATCTTGTTGAGTGCTGGTGGCAATAGCTATACTACTATTCTTTAGTAATTCCCCTTGATCAAAGATTTACGTGGCAGACAAAACTGGAAAAGCTCCTCATAAAAAGGTAGTTCCTAGTAACTTATCTCTCCCATTGTCATCTGCTAGCACCTTTAGTCTCACCATCAAATTGCAAAGCATAGAATTACACCTATATCTTTTCCAAGACAACATGGAAATCCAGTAACTTTTTGTTTTTAGTGAGGACAACATGGATTATTCTCTACCATGAGTGGAGAAGGGGAGATTGCTAGTAAAAATGCTGTAGGAAAAACTGGTATGATGTTAATTCCAATACATATTTTAAACATTGCATCCTTAATTTCATTTGGAAAATTTAAATGAATATAAGGTAGGACTGTAATTTTAGGACTTTTCAGCGTTTTTTAAGGATATTAACTTAAGACCAAAATAAAATATATAGGTAAATGATGCAAGCATATCAGTTACTTACCTCAAACTCTTGACGATTCTCATAAATTTGAATGATCAACTTAGAAATTTCAGAAATTACTTCATAACGCTCTGTGTTCCATAAGCCATCCACACAATGTTCTAGCAACTCCAGCAAAACTTCCTGCATTGAGGAAAAATGTAGTGAGGAATTAGAGATACTTTTAGAGCTTGGGCAAATGTAGTTTGAACTATTTCAAATGAATAAAAAACAGAAGGTACTAAATTTAAGGGAATGCACAGAAGGAGTATAGTTGTGTGACTATATTTTCTAAATGACGTACTTGAAATATTTGATATTGCAACCACATTCTTAAAAGTATGAAATGAATATTGACAATAGTAAACTACTATTTACTTTGTTTTGCATATAATCAAGATGTTAACCATAGTTACGAATGGTAACATGTTGAGAAGTATTTTCCAAACTGAGGATATTACATGTCTAACAGGGTAAATTCCACCAAGCTTATAAATGTCCATGATTTTTGCTTTCTACTAAAATTATATTTACACACAGTTAATAGAGTCTTTAGGTAAGTTCACAATTTTCAAGCTGCTGCATCAGTTACATCGGGGTTTATTAAAATGATGTGAGTTTGGTCAATAATGCTTCCTGTTGGTTCTAAAACCAGTGAGAATGATAGTATAATACCTCAAGATAGAGATCTCTGACCTTGCCATAATCACAGCTACTATAAAACAACCATCATAGCATGTTCTCAACAATGAAAAGATGATGCCGATTATTCATGCTATCCATAAGTCTTAACAGTTTGTTTCTATCTTAAAGAGATGAATTTCAGACCCATAGAAGTGACTGCTACAATGGCTCTTAATGTATCTCCTCTAGTCAATTCTGAATTTATCTTCTTTCTAAACAAACTCTTTTCCTTTTGTTTCACACCTAGCCAGGGGGTCATATCCTATAGACTCTGAACTAAAAAACTAAAAGCAATTTTGACTTTACTCTTTGTTATAAGTTGAACTGTGTCCCTCACAAAGATAAGCTGAAGCCATAACTCCCAGTGCCTCAGAATGTAACCTTATTTGGAAATAGGGTCACTGGAGATAATGATGAGTGAAGGTGACAGCACACTGGAGTGACTTACTTACAGGAGTGATTTACTGGGTGAGCCTTACTCCAAAAGGACAGAGACAAACAGGGAGAACACCACGTGACTACAGAGGCAGTGACTGGAGTAATGTAGCTACGAGCCAAGGAAATCCAAGGCCAACAGCTACCATCAGAGCGAGGAGGAGGCAAGGAAGGCTGCTACCCAGAGTCTCAGAGGGAACAGGGCCCTGGTGACACCTTGATTTCTAACCCCTGGACTTTAGAACTGTGAGACCATAAAGTTCTATTATTTTAAACCACCCAGCTTGTGTACGTTGTTATGGCAACTCTAGGAAACTAATACACTCTCAGTCTTGCCTCAACCTCTAATCAGTTCATCGCCAAGTTCTGCCACTTTTACTTCCTAAATATTTCTCAAATCTGACCCTTCCTCTCCATTTCTACACTCATTGCTAAGGTTCAAGATGTTATTATTGCTTTCTAACAGATCTTCCTGCCTCCAGCCTTGGCACTTTCAAATCTATCCTCCACAAATCTGCCAGCGGGTTTTGATTAAAATACAAACCAGACTACATCCCTCTTCCCTTAGAATCTCATGGCTCCCCATCATTTGCAGAACTAAGGACAAATTCCTTCACTTGGCACACAAGGTTTGCAGCAATCTGGCTGATATTTTATAAAATCATCCTTCATCAAGCTCAGCCTTCTACTTTATGCTCCTCCAGCAGTGATGAAATACTATTAGTTTCTCTGAAGCACCATGGTGTTGTTTTAACTTTGTCCCTTTGTCCATCTGTACCCTCGTGTCCTTCAATCCCTTTCACTTAGTTAACCCTGTAAGAAAAGTTAGGGATCACTTCTTCCAGGATACTTCTCCTGATTAACACAGAGTAGTGAGACACCAGAGACCTATTTTTCCTACTATGATACTTCATTGAGTGGATATTTATCACTATACTTGCCCATTATATATGTATCTTACTTTACAAATAGGTTGTGACTCTTTAAGTGTAGGGACAATATATTATTTTGGCTTTCTCAGTCACTAGCAGAATGGTAGTAAATAGTAGATGTTCACTAAATGTTGCTACTTGAATAATCTATATATTAACATTTAGTATTCAAAGTATCAACAGTGAAAAGGAGGAAATTTCCAAATCTTTGGGGGAAATTTTTAGAAATCTATTACAAACTAGTAAAGTTTGTCCCAAGAATGTAAAGTTGGTTTACAATTAGGAAAAACTCCAAAGTAAACAGAATGAACCATGTAAACAGAATAAAAGAGAAAAAATGTGATCTCTAGCAATAGTTGCAGAAAAAGCATTTGAAAAATTTCAATACCCCTTTGCCATGTTAACAAAGAATCCCCTCAAAACAGGGAATCAAAGAGACCTTTCTCAATCTGATAAAGAGCAGTTACTAAAAACCTACAGGCTGAACATTCTTCTCCTAAATTTGGGAACAAGTCAAAATATCTGCTCTTACTGTTTCTATTCAATGTTATGCTGAAGGTGCTAGCCAGTATAATAAGGCAATAGAGAGAGAGAGAGAAGGCACAGAGATTAGCAAATGTAAAACTGTCTTTCTGTGCAGATGACAGGACTGTGTATGTAGAAAACCCTAAGGAATATACAAACTACTAAAACTAGTAAGAGGATTTAGCAAGGTTGCAGATTATAAGATCAACACACAAAATCAGTGTATTTCTGTATACTAGCAACAACAAACTGAAAAACAAGATTAAAAAACCAACCAATACTATTTCCAGTAGCATCAGAACATCCATTATCTAACAAAATATCCAGGAAAGAATGTCTACTCTGAAAAAGCACAAAGTATTGCTGGGTAAAATTAAAGACAACCTAAACAGGAATTTGGGAATGAGGAATTCATGATCTAAGCCACATTCAGCTCCTGGTCTCGTTTTTGCTGGCTGTATAGGGCTTCTCCATCTTTGGCTGCAAAGAATATAATCAATCTGATTTTGGTGTTGACCATCTGGTGATGTGCATGTGTAGAGTCTTCTCTTGTGTTGTTGGACAAAGGTGTTTGCTATGACCAGTGCGTTCTCTTGGCAAAACTCTGAGCCTCTGCCCTGCTTCATTCTGTACTCCAAGGCCAGACTTCCTTGTAACTCCAGGTGTTTATTGCCTTCCTACTTTTGCATTCAAATCCCCTATAATGAAAAGGACATCTTTTTTGGGTGTTAGTTCTAAAAGGTCTTGTAGGTCTTCATAGAACCATTCAACTTCAGCTTCTTCAGTGTCACTGGTCAGGACATAGATTTGGATTACTGTGATATTGAATGGTTTGCTTTGGAAACGAACAGAGACCATTCTATCATTTTTGAGATTGCATCCAAGTACTGCATTTAAGACTCTTTTGTTGACTATGATGGCTACTCCATTTCTTCTAAGGGATTCTTGCCCATTGTAGTATATATAATGGTCATCTGAGTTAAATTCACCTATTCCAGTCCATTTTAGTTTGCTGATTACTAAAACGTTGATGTTCACTCTTGCCATCTCCTGTTTGACCACTTCCAATTTGCCTTGGTTCATGGACCTAACATTCCAGCATCCTATGCAATATTGCTCTTTATAGCATCAGACCTTACTTCTATCAGCAGTCACATCCACAACTGGGTGTTGTTTTTGCTTTGGCTCCATCACTTCATTCTGTATAATCCCTTATGATTAAACAGTGGAAGTGAAAAATAGATTTAAAGGACTAGATCTGATAGACAGAAGCCTGATGAACTATGGATGAAGGTTTGTGACATTGTACAGGAGACAGGGATCAAGACCATCCCCAAGAGAAAGAAATGCAAAAAAGCAAAATGGCTGTCTGAGGAGGCCTTACAAATAGCTGTGAAAAGAATAGAAGTGAAAAGAAAAGGAGAAAAGGAAAGATATACCCATTTGAATGCAGAGTTCCAAAGAATAGCAAGGAGAGATAAGAAAGCCTTTCTCAGTGATCAGTGCAAAGAAATACAGGAAAACAATAGAATGGGAAAGACTAGAGGTCTCTTCAAGAAAATTAGAGATACCAAGGGAACATTTCATGTAAAGATGGGCACAATAAAGGACAGAAACGGTATGGACCTAACAAAAGCAGAAGATATTAAGAAAAGGTAGCAAGAAGAACTATACACAGAAGAACTATTCAAAAAAGATCTTCATGACCCAGATAACCACAATGGTGTCATCACTCAACTAGAGCCAGACATCCTGGAATGCGAAGTGGGCCTTAGGAAGCATCACTATGAACAAAGCTAGTGGACGTGATGGAATTCCAGTTGAGCTATTTCAAATCTTAAAAGATGATGCTGTGAAAGTGCTGCACTCAATATGCCAGCAAATTTGGAAAACTCAGCAGTGGCCACAGGACTGGAAAAGGTCAGTTTTCATTTCAATCCCTAACAAAGGCAATGCCAAAGAATGCTCAAACTACCACACAATTGTACTCATCTCACATGCTAGTAAAGTAAAGCTCAAAACTCTCCAAACCAGGCTTCAACAGTATGTGAACTGTGAAGTTCCAGATGTTCAAGCTGGTTTTAGAAAAAGCAGAGGAATCAGAGATCAAGTTACCAACATCCGTTGGATCATCGAAGAAGAGAGAGCTCCAGAAAAACATCTATTTCTGCTTTATTGACTATGCCAAACCTGTTGACTGTGTGGATCACAATAAACTGTTGAAAACTCTGAAAGAGATGGGAATAACAGACCATTTGACCTGCCTCTTGAGAAACCTGTATGCAGGTCAGGAAGCAACAGTTAGAACTGGACATGGAACAACAGACTGGTTCCAAATAGGAAAAGGAGTACATCAAGGCTGTATATTGTCACCCTGCTTATTTAACTTATATGCCCTGCTTATTTAACTTATATGCAGAGTACATCATGAGAAATGCTGAGCTGGAGGAAGGACAAGCTGGAATCAAGACTGCAGGGAGAAATATCAATAACCTCAGATATGCAGATGACACCACCCTTATGGCAGAAATGAAAAAGAACTAAATAGCCTCTTGATGAAAGTGAAAGAGGACA